AACGCGACAGGGAGCTGGGAACGTTATTTTTGAGTCAGCAAACGTATCTGATGAAAATCCTGCATAGATTCTCGATGGAGCAGTGCAAGAGATGCTCAACGCCGTTAGATCCTAAGACAAAATTACACCAAAGGACTGAGGCGGAGGAGAGTACCGACATACAGACCTACCAAGAGGCAGTGGGGAGTCTTACGTACGCAGCTATTACGACGAGACCGGACATCGCGTTTGCGGCAGGTCTTGTAGGTCGTTTTTCTGCGGATCCATCTACGTTGCACTGGCAGGCAGTGAAAAGGATACTGCGATATATACAAACTACGAAAGGGTGTCGTCTAAGACTGGGAGCGGACCCTGGGGCAAAAAGGGTATTGAACCAAGGAGCCAGGAACCAGGCGCTAGAAGTCTACGCCGACGCTGACTTCGCGGGGGAGATTGATGGAATGAAATCCACGAGCGGTTTCGTCATCACAGACCTCTATGGAGCAACGGTCAACTGGCGATCCCGGAAACAGCGAACTGTGGCAAAGTCTACTGCCGACGCAGAGTTCAATTCTACAGCGCTGGCAGCCGAAGAGGGGATCTGGCTACAAAAAGTCCAAACCGAGCTATATCCGTCTGCCCACGGGAAGAACGCATACCCGCACATCAAGCTATATAATGACAACCAAGCCTGTATTGCGAGCCTTACGAACGGGAAGTTTAGGGCATCTATGAGGCACGTCGGGGTACGTTACTTCTGGTTGAAGGAAATCATAGAGACGGGAGAAGCGGAGATAGGATATCTCAGGACGGACGAGATGGTAGCGGATGGGCTTACGAAGGCATTGGATAAGACGAAGCATGAGCTATTCGTCGCCATGCTGGGCATGTATTAGACTAGACTACAAAGGCTGGAGAACGCGGGGGAGCTGGGACACCAGGACACCGGGGAGAAAAGCTAGATTTTTTTTTATTTATTTTTCTTTTTCTTTTCTTTCTTATTTCATGTTTTTAAGCATACTACGCAGGATTAGGGGGAGTGATGGCTTATAGGCTCATAGTATAGTAATCCCTGTAGTAGAGCACTATGTTGGGAGCAGAGATAGCGCACGCCGTGGGCGGCAGACCTATGTATGGAGGAACACAGAAGTGTGGACAGGTGGACGTTCTAGGGCACGATGGGTGTTTGGGGCATGTCACTAGTGCGAGCAGAGTTTTCACTACTTAAGGTGAACCGTAGCTAGCAACCTCCACAGAGAAACGCAACCAATATACAACTCCGTTCCCTCTCCGTACTTTACACTCGCAACGTATCGTGCCACCTCCATCAAGCTCGGCATGGATGTTTTAATGTGGGTGTCGCATTCGGAGCGGCCATTACATGTCGACGAGCTATGTCATGCCCTGGGGGTAGAAAAAGGATCTATCAACTCGAATACCCGGAATATTCCTGCCATAGAAACATTTCTAGCATGCTCTCTGGGGCTTGTTGCCGTCGAGAAGTCCTCGTTTACTGTCCGCCTTGTTCACTACACTCTCCAAGAGTACCTCTCTTGTAACCCTAAATTATTCCCTAACCCTCACTCAATGATTGCTGAGGTCTGTTTGACCTATCTCAACTTTCAGCACATCAGGGGTTTTTCGCCTGCTCTTCGTTCTGTCCCGCCAACAGCCCCTTTTTTCGAATATGCTTCATAAGGGTGCTACTGGAGCGGAGAGATGTGAACCCCAACACTGCTGACATCAGGTTTGGCCGAACACCGTTCTCGTGGGCTGCCGAGAATAGGTATGAGGGGGTCGTGAAGATATTACTAGAACGGAGCGATGTCAAACCCCACATAGCTGATACCCGGGATGGCCGAACACCGCTCTCGCGGGCTCTCAGTAATGGGCATTGGGATATCGTCAGGATATTGCGAGAACGGAGAAGCGTTAATCCCGGCACAGCTGAGGAAACCGCCGCGGAGGCACTGATAGATGACATCCCATATGAACTCGCACCGTTCTTGCAGGCTACCAGTAGTAGGCGTGAGGGAGCGGATTTGATTCCCGGATATGCAGCAGGCCCGCAATCAACAGAACTCTCCCCCACCGAACTACCCGAGCTACCTGGACCCACTTCCAAAAGGACCCGCAGGTCTTGACATCCAGTGACAAAACTCGATACTTCTCTCTCCAACTGCTAGCTGCACCCTCCCAGTAGGGAAACAACCCTGACGAAACGAAATCCTAGGCTCCCACAGTTCTTCATATGAGGGTCGACGGGTTTCCGCAGATGCCAAACCCCAGGCCATTCACTTGGAATGTCTGATTATCTCACCAGTGCTTTCAAATCACCCTATCCCCTTCGTATTTCATATCATCTAGTTCGGACTTCGTTTTATTAGTCTTGCATGTATCTGCGGCCCATTTGCTCTTTTCTATATTCCCTTCTCTCCATACACACCCCTTTGATCTATCGTTTGTTCCTTATACCTATTAAGCTAATGTATTCCATATGTCAAATATTACCTTCGCATCTACCCGTATTACCGCATAACTTGGACAGTAACTGTGTCGTATTACAAGAGGGGTGGATGGAAACCATAAATTAGATATAGACACACATAGTGCACACACAAGAGTGGACGCACCGCTGGGATCAACGGAGAATGGTTTATAGTGGGTTATTCACAGATTCTGACCCACCATATTTCTTCTTTCTCTCACTTTCTTTTTCCCTCTCGTCCCCCTATCCTCTGCCACTCTCCTACTTACCAAATCGTAAGATAAACTCCCCTCCCTATTAATACCAAAGACATCATAGCTTTATCTGAACATTACAATTAAACTCCGTGCCCCCCGTCCACCCTTCCTCACAGGTTCCGTAAATCTCCTCTACTCGCAAAGAATTGCCGGAGCTTTCCCACACGTATCGGAAGCTCGACGGACGGGGTACCCCAACAGCGGGAAACTAGGTTAAGAGCATACTCCAAATGTTACTATCACACCCACGATATACGGGCAGTGTTAGAGCACTGCGCGCAAGATCGTCAGCTGAATCTTAAAATCGAAAGACAATGTGTTGGTGTCGCGTGCTGCAATGCTATTAATCACACGATGTACATTTGCAGCTCAAATCCCAACTCCTGGGAGTTAGGCGCGATTATGAGCGACTCCCCTGTCCCTATAAGCAAACCCGAGCTATAGTAGAACCTTAAAAGCCTATCCCGACAGGCCAGGCTAGCTGGCTGAAAACACCACACACGAACGAACCCTCTACGATCCATCCTTTACGGAATAGAGGAAATGATGGGGGAACTTTAAAAAAAAATCGAAGCAGGAAAACTTGATACTCTGAAACGGATTTGAACCGTTGATCTCGTCATGAACTTCTATGCGTTCGGTACTAGTGACGCGCCTTACCAACTTGGCCATCAGAGCTGAAGATGCAGTCAAGCTTTGCAATGCGGTTAACGAAGTGTCTCACAGCCGGTCTTATTATATGAACCTCCCTGTTCTATCTTCTATAATGTAACTCCCGGTGAGACGGCCATCAAGTATGATAGGCTGCTAGTAAGACATACCCCCGCCGGGCCGTCAGGGTCACCTTCATCTGCCCCCCCCCCCCCATCCTCCCCAGAACATCTTCCGTCCACCGATGACCGTGCTCTAGATGCACTCAAACCCCCTGAGTTTTGATCATCCATCGTAATTCTCTACAATGCTTGAATTCACCTACCGGTATCAAGCCCCCCCCCCCTGGCTTCAGTGTAAATTTTGGCTCAGAGAGGCACGCCAGAGACGCCGATCATCCAACAAGCTCCACACCTCTACAATTTTGAGTCTTGGGCAAACCCTCGCCGAATCAGCCATCCCAAATCCACAATCCATTTTCACAAGATTGTAGTCACAAATGGTCACTCGCAAAAATCTGTTGGATTTAGTGCTTATCCGCCAAACAGACTAGTTTCCTTTCATCCAGTTTCTCCTATCATAGTACCTCCCCTACCACCCTCTTCAACGCTGGTCACTGTTTGGGTTTTTGCTTCATCCCTTCTCCGCTTGCCTCACAACTGCACAGCCATGCCATATTCAACTATGGTATTATTACCGTCTTCTCATTATCCAAGGTTCTCATATGTTTTTCCCCTTCTCCGAGGTCTTGTCAAATTCTTTTCCTCGGAGGTTCTCATATTGCCGACCTCGGGTTCCTGATGTTTCTTTCCTTCACTTAGTAGTCCAGTTTAGCATAAAATCCCACAACTGCGCATGTGGTAAGAAAATCAAGCTTCCTTCTCGACAGCAGTCATATCAAATCCACAAAATCATAGTATGGGAAAAACCTAATAGGCCCCGCCCCGAGGGCCTATTGACAAAATAACACCGGGTTATTTATTTCCCTCGCTTTCACTCGATCACCCTAACGGCATATCAGTCCCATGATAAAAAATGCCCACCATAATCAAATCTAGGCTTCCTAAGGGGAGGGATAATTCGCTGATTATGCCGTCGGCCGCCCTGCCCTAGCCCCTCATTCCTTGCTTGGCAAGTATTATATGGTATGATATGATACCACACTTGCGTTCTCACGATTACAAATACTCAACGGTTCGCAACCGCGCCACACAGACCCAGTGGACATCGCGAATCCTATTTTCTCCACGGGCATGCAACAATATGGAAACTCGTAAAAGGCTCTAAAGGGGTGTGACACAAGATGCTGAAGGAAACCATAAGCAAACAAAAAGTCTCAGAAAAGTCTCGAGTAGGGCTGGACTACCCCACTCTGTAGCATTGTGCCTGCTAAAAAGGAGCTGGGCGACTACTCACTGCACATTCAGCTAGAACTTGCGTGAAATCATAAGCACAGTGCCATGTTTTAAAGGATCGAGCAAGGAGTGGGTGAGTTATCAAGAGTGAAACGGAGACTGAGTACTGTCTTTCCTCTCCGTCGGATCAATAGTGACACCGCAGAGGCGAGTGGAAACAGGTAAACTGGGGCATGATACTACAGTCCTTTATCCCCTCGTTCCTTCTCTCAATTGAAAGACAGCGAGATGAAACGCCATTGTATAAAATTAATGCACAACGAATCGCCCAATAAGAATGAGAGTAACCATGTAATGAACCTTGTAGAAAAACAGAAAATAAAAATGAAAATCCCCTTCTCCCGATTTTGTGAGCAAGAAAGGGACGTTTACTCCCTTTACAAAAGTCTATGCTACATAAAAATGTTCAAAGGTATCGCTTTTCACCCCAAACTTTGTTTCCCTAAACTCTCACAAATGCACCAGTTACCCCGCCTAGGCCTCCCAAGCAAAATAAGTAAGAAACGTAGAACACCATAAGTTAGACTAATCGGAATCCCCTCCGTAATCCTCAGATCCTTCATCGTCATCGTCACCATCATCGTCCTCTTCATCAGAAGAAAGCTCGATTTTGTAATTCGTGGGCTTTCGAGCCCTTACAGCCCTCCCGCGAGGCTCTGGTTCGGCTGCTTTTGGAGCTGGTTTAGCTGAAGGTTTGGCCGAGGCTTTAGAAGTCTTAGACGAAGGTTTAGCGTAGAGATCTTCATCGTCGGAATCTAGAAGTTCGTCCGCCATCTTGTCCACATCCATATCATCCTCATCCTCGTCCTCAGACAAGGCAATCGGTTTCTTGGCCTTGGCCTTTGGCACCGCTTTTGCGACCGGCTTCTTGGGCTCTGCTGCCTTCTTCGGTGCAGCCCTCGCTGGTGGTGCAGCCTTCTTTATCGGGGCTTTCTTAACAAGTTTAGGGATGTCGTCATGATCTGAGTCCAAGCTTTCAGACTCGTTGCCAGTGTTCTTGTCAAGGTTGAGGGGGATCTTCGAGACTCCCTTAGGGGCCACTTTCTTAGCGGCTGCACCCTTCAAGGCAGTGCCAGATGCCTTCTTTGCAGAATCTCTAAACAAAGGCCTACCGGTGTCACTACCCTGACTCCCGATACCCTTAACAAGGACACTGACATCCCCAAGACCGTTCTCCCCGTCGGAGTCATCTGATCCAGCAATATCCAGAATTGACGCCTTTCTTGCCGCTGCCCGTTTTGGTTTTGTCACAGCCGTCCTCAGGGGCGGAGGGTCTGAGACATCCACATCAAAGATAGAATCATCCGCAGCAACCGGTTTAGCTTTCGGAGCGGTCCTAGTAGCAGCCTTAGCTTTCGGGGCGACTTTCTTTGCAAGAACCTCCATCTCAGATTCAGCTTCGGATTCACCCTTTGCAGGTTTCTTGACTAGCACCGCCTTAGTCTTCGGTTTTAGGGAGGGTTTCTCATCCAGTGATAGGAATTCGTCTTCGCCGTCTCCTACGGGACCCAGTTGAGGTTTTTGTTCTGGTGATGATTCCACATCGGCATGTGTTACTTTGATAGGAGGCTTCGCAGAGGGTGCCGGTTTAGGTTCCCGGTCGAGCATGTCGAAATCCGAATCACTCAGGTCGTCGATCACCACCGCTTCTTTTTTGGCAGCCCTCGCGACGGCCCCTCTGTCAAGGGCTTTCTCCGGAGGTTGATCGATTGACTTGAATCCCAGTATAGTCTGCTTCTTGACCTCTGTTTTGACCTTCGCCGCCGCCGGCTTTCTTTTTGGTTTTGAAGCCTCGAAATCCGATTCGTCACTACCAGCCGCTTTCTTCTTCCCTTTGACCATCTTTGCGCCGTACTTACCACCCTTCTTGCGTTTGACTACGGTGCCTTGCTCTTTTTTGTCTTCCTCCAATTGTACCCTCCACTCTTCGATAAAGGCATCCAACTCGGTATTCCACAAGTCTTTCGGAGATTTCTTGATAAGTTCATCGACCTCGAGCTCTTTGTCAGCGACATCCTGAAGTAGTTTCTGGACCTTTTCATGTGTCAGAGACCAGATAGCCATCTAATCAGGGAACGGTTAGCATGCATAAATATACCATAGAATGACGGCGTACGAACCCCCAATAGATAGTTGTAACCATCCCCGACAATTGAATCTTCTTCTTCAACAGTGTCCTCAGTCTCGCCAGCCTTCTGAGCTTCAGCCTTATTGGAAATTTTCTCAAACTTCTTCTTCACAAGGTCCTCGATAATCTCAGAACGCTTACGCCCTGAGATTGCCAGTTCCTTCTTAATGATCATTCGGATGAAGCGAGCCTGGTTAGTATACTTCGTCAATTGTTTGCCCATTTCTTTAAGCATGTTATCCTGTGAATATATTAGCAATGGAACCAATCAAGGGGAACTATGGTTTGAAATACCTTGCGCTCCTGGTAATATTTCAAACGAATATAATAAAATTCCCTCAGAATATCATTGACCGAAGCGTACTTATTAATTCTTCCCTCAGGATCAAAAGCCACAAGATTGCTGGTTGATATAGTTTTCGTAAGCTTGAATCTATTCACAAGCCCCTCTGCCAAAGCTTCCTGCATATGCTTTTCAGACTCCATGGTAATAATGAAATGGACCCGTCGAGGAGAGTTGTAATCAACATAATCTTTGATGAATGATTTCTCTCCCTTGATGATATCTTCGAGTTTCTCTTTGAACTCTTGAGTCCACATCTTGATAGGCAACTCCCGAATCTCGCAAGTAACACCATCAATCTGATTGATAACCCCGGAGAATCTGAATTTGTCCTCTGTGATCTGTTCGACCTTGCCGTGCCAATCACGATACCATGGAGTCATAGATTCTAGTTCCTCATTGTTCATCAAACGCCTAATATTGGCAACCACATCTTCTGGATTGTAATTCGGTATAGTGGTACTCCACCCTATCATCATGTAAGCAACGCCAATAATGCCAGATGTAGATGTGCCCAAACGTACCTGTACCAATACCATCGGCTCCGTTGATCAAAACCAAAGGAACAACAGGGGCGTACCATGCAGGTTCAATTTTCTTGTCGTCATCCAGATTATACGTCAACAAGGGATCGTCGGTAGCCGGGAACAACTTCCTGGCAAAGGGTGACAATAGGGTATAAATGTAACGAGGGCTGGCTGCATCCTTTCCACCATCAAGGCGGGTACCGAAAGACCCTTCGGGCTCCAAGAGATTGACATTGTTGCTTCCAACAAATGTTTGCGCCATACCAGTAATCGTTACTTGGAGAGAGCTTTCACCATGCTGATAGGCTGTGCACTCTGAAACGAATCCGGACAGTTCCGAAACTTTGAGTTGTTTTGTAAGCTTCCTCTTGAAACAAGCAAAGAGAATCTTGCGTTGACCAGGTTTAAGGCCGTCCACAACCGAGGGAATGGAACGGATGTTGTCCGCCATACTGAAGAGAATCAACTCTTTATTAACGAATTCCGGATATGATATCCTATCAATGGAGTGATCAAGGTAAGTTCCAGGCTTGTAAAGTCGAAGCCATTCCTTCCGCTCATCTGCCTTTTTCTTAGAAAAGGCGAGTTCGATTAGTCGCTGGCCTTCCGCCTCCATCACATGGAACTCCTTGACATGTCTCTCCAGATCTGAAAAGTATAGTTTTGCGTCCCGTTCGCCCGAGGTGCCCAAACCCTAATGATGTCAGCATACATCCGCTACGCCAGGTGCCGGAAGAGAAAACTTACTTTGTAGTACTTATGTTCCCATCCCTTCTCCGCGTTGTTCTCTTTCCAGTACTCATACTCCGGCATGGTAAAGAAACTGATCTCCTTGGTTGGCTTTTTAACACCACCTTTGAACACCTTCACAATAGGTGTGATAAATTCGATCAGAAAGTTGGGTAACTTGAGCAAACTGGGGAATTGAGTCTCGAAGAAGTTGATAAGCAATCCTTTGATATGACTTCCGTCATAATCCTGATCCGTCATGATCATGAGATGACCATATCTCAACTCTTTCCTTGATTCATAAACCTTCTTGTGTTGCAGCCCCAGAATCTGTTTAATGTTTTGAATTTCCGCATTCTTCATTATTTGATCATGAGAGGCATCCCGAACATTAAGAAGCTTTCCACGTAGGGGGAAAACGCCAAACCTATCCCGTCCATCAATTGCAGATATACCAGCAACAGCAAGCGATCTGGCTGAATCTCCTTCGGTCAAAATAAGCACGCATTCCTGTGAGTCCTTGGTTCCAGCTCTGTTGGCATCGATAAGTTTTGGATTATTTATTCTAGAAACTGTTAGTGCACTGTACCCACCAAGTAATAACCCAAGACTCACCTAGACCGTCTAGATCCATCCGTTTTTTTCAACTGCTTATCAGCTTTCATATTGGCAAAGTCGATGATGTTCGAGATAACTGGAGTATTCTTCAAAATATTTTTAATGAACGTGTCGCTCAAAGCGCATTTGCTACCAAACGCAGTAGGTCTAGTAGTCAGTTGTTCCTTGGTTTGCGAGGTGAATGCTGGATTCTCAATCAGACAGTTGACGAATATGAAGAAATGATTCCGCATCTGAGCGTTTTTGACCGCGGCCCCAGTTTTGTTCTGCTTCTTTAGAGCTCCCTGGAGGTGGGTGCAAAGCTGATCCGCAATGTAATTCACATGGGTTCCTCCGGATGTTGTAGCGATACTATTGACAAATGATACCTGTTGGAAATTGCCCCCGCTAGCAGCGAAGGCTACTTCCCAGCGATCACTCACGACTTCCGAGGTAATCACAGGTTTTTCTCCGCCAGCTTCTTCGTGCAGTGCATTGATATACATCTCACAGTACTTCTTAAAGTTCAACTTTATCCGCTCCCCATTCAAGAAGACCTTTACGTCTTTCACAGAAGCTAAGCCCAGCCATTAGCATGAAACATTCCACCATTCCTCAAGGAAACTCGAGCTTACCAGCCATATCGTAAACCCTTCTCTTGACAAGAGCCTCGAAATCATCATCCATCTCCTCCATGTGAAACTTGGCAAGATCGGGTTTGAACGTAATCTTCGTAAACTGCTCTCCCTTCGGGTTTGCAGTGATTTTCGCCTTTCCCATCTTGCCCATGTTGTCCGTCCAGGTTTGCTTGTACTTTTGCTTAGTATTCTTATCGCCAGTCTCAACCGTGAATTCAGTACTGAAGATGTTGCAGAGCTTTGCACCATAACCATTACGACCACCGGTAACCTTCTTTTCGTCATCGTCATAATTGGAAGAGGTGAGAAGGTGGCCAAAGATCAACTCCGGAACATAAACTTTCTCCTTCTATTCGGTTGTAAGTAAAGATCCCTTAATCTAATATAGGAACGATCGGCGGGCGACTTACCGAGTGTATCTCAATCGGAATACCCCTCCCATTATTATAAACGGAAATTGTATTGGTCGCTTTGTCAACAGTGACCTTGAGAGCGTCCATCTTAGAGTCACGGATTTTGTTGTCGGCCGCATTGACCAAAATCTCGTCGAAAATTTTATACAGACCAGGAACCATAGTAACAGGCTTCCAAACCATAGAAGTCGCACCGGAGTCGAAAACCCACATGTGCCGCTCTGATCGCTCTATAGATCCGACGTAAGTATCGGGGCGTTTGAGGATATGCTCCAATTGAGTAAGCTGTGATGCGAGCGATTAGACCAAACAGTTCACTTCAGCAAAGAGGAGCCTCGGTATTAATTCGAACCTTCTGGTATGAATCTGCAAAGCTCTTCTTTTCCTTCGGAGACCCTGATCCTTCCCCAAAGTCATCATCATCCCCATCTAACTCCGATTCGTTTTGCTTAGACTGGAGCGGCTTTGCCGAGGTTTTCGCCCTCTTGGGAGCAGGAGCCTTCTTTTGCTTCTTTACCGACGGTGGTGTATCCGCTAGGTTACCGTCGTCATCTTCACCGTCAGAAGGAACAGCACGCTTCTTTGAGGCCGCTTTGGGTTTGGCTGCTGCAGTAGTCTTTTTCGGTGCAGTAGTTTTTTTGGGTGCTACGGCTTTCTTTGCAGCAGGCTTCCTCTTCTACGGGGAAAAACTGTTAGCATACTTCCAACGCGGGCCATGGAAGACTTACCACAGGCCCTGGCGAGAAGCCGCCATCGCTACCTTCATCACTGAAAGGTGATGAGATCTCGTCGTCGTCACTGTGCATAATTGCTGGCGTTGAGGATGATTGCTCGAGTGCCTGCAAGGCCCAGGGGAAGCTGAATGAAAAACGGTTGATCAAAGAATGCGGCTGGCCGCTAGGCACTTGGTGTCTCTGTGGTTGAAAAAAAGGAAGTGAAGGGATTTGTGTAATCTCGATCCCTTTTCTTTGCCCACTTCTAGGGTTAGTATTTTGGTAGTTGTTGGTTTCTGTGTGTTGTGGGTTGAAGGGGCTGAGGAGTGTTGAGAAAATCCACATAAAACCGTGTTTGTTTTTGTTTTGGGCTTGGCAGATGCACGAGACTACCGACCAGCCCAAATTGAAATCCACAGTCGCGCACAACCCCCACAAACGAACCCCTATCACACCAGTATTGGCAGGACCCGTCAGTGCCAGGTGCCTAGTCATAAACCTGACCATGGTCAGTGACGGGTTGTCAGGAAGAAAGGGGTGACGGGAGGTGACGGGGTCAGATAGGGCTTGGCACCACACTGTGGATCGAGGATACAGTATGAGACCGTTTTACAAGTTCATGGAAGAACGAGTGAGCAAGTGGGTAAGCAAACGGTTGAACGAGTGAAGTATGATACTCATATTAATTTCTGGTATCAACAGCGCTAATCTGAATTGTTCCTTGCCAAACATTTTAATCCTAACCCCTGCTATAACCCTAACCAGCTAGGCAAAATGACCAAGTCATGACTCCTATAATCTTCCAGCCTGGGTAATGGGCCAAAGTCAGCCCTTTGGAGGGGCCACTGCCAACACTCTATCACACTGTACCGGTAACATCAAATCGGAACCTTGTACTCGAGTACGGTACTGGTACAGGATCAATTCACCATACGCCGTGGCATTTGTGTATTTGTACCTGTACCAATACTTACTGTACCGTACAAGTATGGTTCAAGGTTGCTGGGTACAATGTTTCCCTACATGACAAGCAGACGGCACAGCGAGCACTCACCATTCATTGGCTCGTCTCTATCGGGTCGTGTAGTATTAAACAGTAGTTCAGAGGATTATGTAAGGCAGTGCTTGTTGTGCCGAGTGCTCACCCCGTAGGGAAATATTATAATGTACTGTACTCGTACACCTCAGCCTACAATTTCCCCAACTTGTTAGCAAGCCCAACCTGTCCTCTATAGTCAGTAATTGGGTGATGCAGGTGCAGCACTAGTACAGTTGCCTCACTCCTAGTGGCCAAAGTATCCGCGCAGGGGCGGGGCAGGCTCTACGACTCTGGGCTATGAAAGCGCCAGTTGTGGGGCGAGTACGCGGGCGACGAGGAAGCTCATAGTTACGGGCAATACGAGGTGTATCGGAAGCAGCGGGAACAGAAGGTGCATTAGGATGGAAGCTGTAGGCATAGATATGATGATAAGGGTGTCGACTCCTATGAGTAAGAAACGATTCGCGACAGGGTAGGCGGAGGGGAGCTGGACTCGCTTTTCTTTTGTACTTCAGGTACAGTTAGAGATATATGTGAAATGGATCATGAATTGAATGGTTTTGCTCAGAGTCACGAAAATCTCCCACACCTGGTCTTTGCTTTTCCCGATGCCCGTCGCGTATGATGCCGGTAGTTGATCTGGTTCCGAAAGTACCGGTACGAGTACGGTACAGTACGGTACCGTAAACGGCTGAGAGATTGTCCCTGACACGGTTATGATTCAATGCGGTGGTGACGGCGCTAGTGAACAAGCCACCACAGCCTAGATGCAAATCAGTATTAGCTCGTTTGCGGCTATCGACCTAATACCGGTACAGGTACTAGTATTAGCTTACCAAATAGCTTCCAATGCACTCCTAGAGGGGAAGAAGGGTTAAAAACGCACGTATTTAGAGTAAAGCTCAAGGGGCTCCACGGTACGAAACCCCCCAGAAACCACACGGGTAACTACTAGTAAATGATATGGCGTAATGGATAGTAGGGGTATTCAAAGTTGAAAAGATGATTTTTCAGTAACGAGTAACTACTAGAAGGTGCATTAGGTTACTTTACAATGTTAGCCAATCATATCCATATGTTTCATGTAGCATATTTGAATGCCCTAAGGTAACCAAAGGTAGAGGGTAGAAGTTTTCACAGATCTTACCGATACTGAAATTTTTCAGTATTTGTTAACAAAATGCCCAAGTGAAGAGATTTCTGTCAGAGAAAGCAGATAATTATTTTTAAAGTATGTGATAATATTTTAAGATTTTCCTCTAATTTTTTAAAAATTTCTTTTCAGATCATGTATCATATTGAAGTTCTGGTAGAGTTCAGTTGATACGGATTTTGGAGTAGATACAGACCTCCAGACCTCCATATCTAACCAAAAAAAAAGTATGGTATGGTAAAGTAAAATGAGAGTAAAGTAACTGTTTTTGTGTCTGCCAAGCTTACATGAAACAGCAAAGTAAGCTACTTTTTTTCAAGTTTTTCAACTTTGAATACCCCTAGTATGAGAATGTACGGTATTTGCGGATACAGGCTGGCCACCCTGACTATAGGCATTGGTATGGAAGCTGGACGAGCTTGGTGTAGAGGCTTTTTAGGTCACTCATTAGCCTCACTCGCCTCACGGTCAATTCTCTGGCGTGAAACGAACTAGCAGAGAAACCACCAAGAATATATGCAGTAGAAGGTATTCAGAGACTACAGGACCCCCGGGTAGAAGCCACGGAGTACCTAACGCGAATTAAGAAACTTTCACCGGAAATTGCCCAATTCACCGCCCATACCCTCGTTAGCCCAGCACCCCCTGCTCGTAGAACATACAAAACGTAGGAGCCGCACCTCCGTAGTGATACCGGTAGTGGTTTCATAGTTCAGAAAAAAAAAGTTCAGCAATCGTGCTCTTCTAGTTCACAATCTAAGACGAAATGTGCTGAGATGAAATAGTGTTTCTCAGACAAGGTATAGCTTTGGGAGGCTGGTCTTTTCTTAGACCCCATTAACTGGTATTCATTATTTTGCTACCCTACACTGCTAAACCTATTGTGTTTTGGTGAAGTGGTACAATTGAGATCTCCGGTAGTGAATCTACCGAGTTTTTACAGTATTATTTTTCGCTCTTGAATTCACAGAGAACACATGAATCGGCTGAAAGTAAATGCATATATTCTAAGGGCTAACAGCAAACAAAGGCCCCGGTAAAAAACAAAATTCCTTTTCCCCTTTCCTTTCCCCCTGATTCTCTCCCGCCCGCCATATATTTAACTTTTTTAATCTCTCCTTCCCCCAACGTTATTGTCCCTGCGTCGCTAACGATCTGCTAGCAAAATTCTTTCAGTTGTATCTCAATGGATCTTACGACTCCTTCCTAAGCCTTTTCAAATCCTGCCGATAGCCGGTGTTCCCAATGGGCCCGGTACGCTAGGATGAACTAAAGGCGGGCCCGGCCGGCCACGATTATGGGGGATTTGGCCCGGCCAGAGCCTGCAGGCTTTGAAAAGCCTGGGCCTGACCTGGCTGGTCCCAGCGATAGGCTGTATAGGCTTAGTACCTGTCCCCTTATAGGCTGGCCCGGCCTAGAAAATGAAGCCAAGCCTATATTCTCTTCAGATCTTTAGCTTCCATTCGGCTCATCTTTCATTCTACTAAACTGGTCTGAGTTACTCCTGCGAGAACCATAAACTATATAGTTCCTATGCAAATCCCATGTGCTGGTGTTAATAGACTAGAATGATTATCAGTAAGACCGCGAATAGTACTAGGCGCTGAACCTATGTGCGGGTAGTGATATGGATTTTCTCGTGGCTGATTAACATTCTCAAGGCCTAATAGGACTGTATTAGCAATAGTAGGCATATCCACGGATGAATTGTCTGGGCTTTGTTGAGTTGTTTGTGAATCGTTCATCGCGGAGATATTTCAACCAATAACTGAGGATATAGATAAAATAGTAACCCACAATGAAAGTTGTAAGGAATCGAGCGACTCTTAAAACAACCACCTCTAAATCCCACTTACAGGCCTGTAGGCTCCTACCAGGCCTGATGGGCTTCTGCAGGCTGATGGAGTTCAGCCTATATTGTATCTGCCTAGGCTCTTTGCCAGAGCGGCCTGCCTTGGCCCAGCCTACTAAGTTCCTTCTATTCTAAAAAGCATAGTTTTGTTGAATGCAACTACAATATCTATGGCAAGGAGTTAATAGTGGTAGTATGTACATTTGATAAATGGAGATGTTATCTTATTGGTATAATACAAGTACACAAAATCATGTCAACCAAGAACCAAGCTACCAGTGTGCCTGTGTCAGAACTCCTTCAACACGCACGATCACCATACCCAACTAAAAGTAAAAAAGAGGGCAGCCCGAATCCCTTTGAATCTATCGCCATGCAAATCCACCCCCTCCCCCTCAAGGTATCCTCATTAATCACCGGTAGTACCCGAACAGTACGCTTCCAAACCACCGGTAATCATGGAAACTATTTGCGACGGCTCTTCAAATGCAAGATCGCTGCATAAAGTCTAGTTACCGTAGTTTATCATAGTTGTTCTTCCCAGAATGGGGGGTACTGTACAGAATGCAATAACTTAAATCTACAAGCCCATAGAGAAATGATGTGCAGGGAGCATAATGCAAGCACAGTAACCTCATAACACACCAACGCAGTGCTCGGGAATTTTTAAAGCACTGTGGTGGGAACGCGAGTTACCGGTACCTGACTGAAAGGAATGGGGTTCCTGCTTGTACTCGTACTCGAGCACAATACTCGGAGAGACGTGGGTTGCCGGACTGACAGGGATCAAAGGTGTCAAAGCTTCTTGCTTGTTTGAGCAGTTTTGATGCCAAATTCATTCTTTTATTTCCTATAAGGGTAAGAACGGTCAGGGTCGAGAATCCCTGGCTGTCCAGACCCGGCTACCTGCTGAGGCATTGATTATACCATAACCGGATCACTTGTGCTACTTGTTCCCATTCCCAGCGCTCACGTGCGGAAAATCCCCACGTACCGTATTCAGTAAGCAACCCCCACTGACAAAAATGCGCTACCGCCGGTACTGGTACGGTACTGCCACGGTCCCTTCCCCTGCCGCAACACCTATTCACAGATTATCACTCGATATGCATATTGGCTGCCCCCGCCCTTATCTACCCGAGTACTGTACGAGTAGCTCACGAGTTTCAAACGCATCCGGAAGTTCTCCGCAAAATTTAGTCCTAAGAAAAGCTAATGTTTCCGGATGCTAGCCTTTTAACTTGGCCGCTTCTCTCCCTTCTTAACGAGGCGCGTATTTGACTTCCATTTATGCAGGACGTGCGGTTGGCTAGCTCCTTCCCGGCTGCGAGGAGGGGACGGAGGTTTTGCCCAGGCCGTGAATTTTCATTGTGTGGGCATTCTTGTAGGGTGCCTTGAGTTAATAAAAATGTCCAGTTCCCCCTCTCTCAACCCCCCCCCCCCCCCCAACTGACTACTATACTCCTACCAGCAGATCACACGCCAGGATCCCAGGAGAACACGGCGCTCTTAAACCCTGATGGCTATTGGTAAAATGCTATGTCCGGCGGGATATCAAATATTAATCTACTCTTTGGTGCTTGGAATGCTATTGAGGGGTACCATCATAGCATAGACCGAGAGATCAAAAACCTATTGGGATCCAAGAACGACATATAAGGCCAGGCCGAATATACCGCCGACTGGACACAATTCTCGGTGCCAAATCCCATATCGCCAGGCGCCTCAGGATGCCGACAAAGCCCGGAAACTCCAGTCGCTGTTACCGCAGAAATTTGTGTGCATCGCCGGAACGGGTTTCTCGATATTTACTGGCATCCCCAAGCACCGAGTATGATTCTTTGACGGCATTGCACGGCTCTGGAGAGTGGGGGAGAGCTCCGGAGGAGCTGGGCACCCCAGGGATATGTATCCCCAGTTCACGAAATGGGTAGTGGTGGAGCAAAGCATATTTCCATCATCTGTCTTGACACGTTTACTCGTATTGGCCTCCGACTCCTCTGTCATGTTAAACTGTTTCCGTTGCATTGATGCGTCGAGCATCTTATCATGGTACTTCCCGAGAGCAAACATTAGTCTCGAGCCACACTAGTCAGTACCCCGCAATGTGCTAGCAGTTCCGACTCGAGCACTGTGCAAAATAGGGGCATCCCAAACGCTTCACACTTGCCTGGCTCCTCGGAACAGCGACTCGGTTCGTTTGCTGCTGAGAAACACGCCTCTCTTCACCTAAGACAAACGCCTGCTCAGCAGGTGACGACAAAAGTGACATAAGATAGCACGCAGTCATCCATTTCGTACTGTGCGAATGTTTGGAGAAGTGGGTCGTGCAAAGGCCCGATCTGGGAACTCTTATACCTAGAGAGCGAATCCCCACCCCGTTCCATATTGTTCGCATAGCGCATGGCCAGTGTGCCATTAAAACTCACTCGAGCCCATACAATACCGGTATTGTCGTGTGCTGCTGGCTGTGCCCTACAGCACTACGTGATACTAGGAACTGGCGTATCAAAAGGGTTATCTAGCGGGATGCCAAGAAATAGCTAATAAAAGTTGTTGAAGACCTAGACTTCCTCCCACTTATCACTAGTGTTGCGATGGAATAATAAACCAAACCCACTTCCTAAAATAGCTCGTGGACAATGAAGGTCGGCCACCTGCGATAGGTATCTGCACTTGGGAAGGATAATGGTCACCCGTTCTATCTCAAAATGCAAGACCTGAGGCGCAGTAAGGGACCTTATGCCAAGGTGACAGTGGTTTTGGTGTTGGCTTGGTAGAAGTGGGTGTCTGGTGGTCAGCCTCAAGAAAGGTTGTTACTGGAGGGATATAAATAGCCAGGTTTTGTGACATCAGACCTGGAATCGAGACGAGACGGCAATTTTTTTTGATCGATAGCCACACAGAGTAGTCGGGGAGTATCGTGGAACACCTCTTTGGTGACAGCAAAGCTCAATCAATCTATTCGTAACCTAACAAGCTTTTCGCTGTCGCTGATAGTTGTATCCGCTACTGCATGCATCCCATCCTGCTTTAAAAATGAGCCTGGGCAAAGCTTGATCCCGGTGGCTGATCGGAATCTACTCCCACCGGTTGGCCGAAGAATGAAAGTCTGCGTAGCGGTGGATGGCTTTACCAGTACGGATGGTATCGCATAATAGCTGACCGAGTTTTTCTTTATCGGCGAAAATGACTTAGTCTCGTTCTAGCAACCATTATCGAATAATCGGGGCTGAGGAAGATCTCGAAGCGGAAGAAGGTTGCCATCTTTATCGTGCCCGTTGTATTATAAAAAGCATTCCAGTAAGGCCTGGAACACGTGGGGACGAAGCTATCGACAGCGAATTCGGGGATTTCCTGCGGCTGAGAATAGAATACTAGTGCTCGTTCGTTTTTTTCCTGATCTTGATCGTCCTTTTGTCATTATTATTCTGAAGGGAGTCAGTAGGCCCATCGGGCGATGGCTGCGATGATTGTGTTTCTATTTTGTTCTTTGCTAAACCTTGCGGCTGAGCAAGGAGGGAAGAGAGCAATGAACTTGAGGAAAGCACTGTACGGTACAGTACCGGTGCGGCACAGTGCTACTATACCGTAGTGCCCATAGAGTGGAGTGCGGTGAAGGTGGTCATCAGTGGGGCAAGGATAGATACAGTACGGGAGCACAGTGGGTGTGGTAGCTGATAAGCGAGCGTTTGATACTCGAGTACAGCAAGGTATCATAACCCGCCCGTCAGGTGCACCGGGATACCGGTATTGGCACGAGTGGTTTGAGAATAGAATTAAGAAAACTGGGGAAGGTATGATTTATTCTTCAGCCTCCCAAACCTCGGAAGATCTCGCCTGGGGGGGTATGGCAGAGGTTGGAGCGGAGGGAAGGAGAGGAGCGAAGAAGAGGAAAGTACTAGTATGGTATTCGAGAGAAGACCTGCGGTATCCAAAGGGTGAGAATGGGGCCTACGATAATCTCAGGTCGGAGATTAACCGAGGGGCCACGCAAAAGTGTTAAGCAGTCATACTACCGGTACTCGAGTATATACGGTAGTGCAGGTACGGTGCCCGTACTGTATCATACGGTAGTGTACGAGTACTACAGTACTCGAGTACATGGGTTAGGGGGTAAGCTATGACATTCTGCTTATGATACTCGTGAGTAAGGTCATTTTAGGGCTTCTTGCTTGGTGGTTCTGGTCATGTTTTTTCCTTTTTTTCCTTTTTCCTCTCCCTTCTTTCCGTTGATGCTCCCCCGAATCTAATCACATGCGAGCAAGAGAACCTAAAAATTAGCGCACGTATAGCGCTTCCGAGATGAAGTTCACACTCTTCCTTCAAACGCCTCCACTGAGAGAGGAGAAGTACTCGAGTACTCGTACTTGTGTGATACGAAAGTACCGGTATTTGGAAAGAGGGAGGGAAAGGAGGAAGCAAGTGGGGGGGGAGGAAGGAAAGAAGAAAATGCTGCTACTGTATCTCATTTCTGAGTCCTCCCCAGAGTGGTGAATCCTAACGAACCGTACCGCGCGGTGCCCAGTGCCCTCCAACAGGGTTCCACCCATCTCATCCCATCATCTCTTTTTAATCTTGTTGAACCCAGCCAGTGATCGCCTCCTCCCCTATTCGCCCCCTATTGAGATCTGCCCCCTCACACCCCCCCGTTTCTTTTTCCTTCCCTCCCCTCCTGCATCCACCAGACAAAAGCGCGGGGGGGAGGGTCCAAGAATCAGGCCGGCCTTTTTTCTTGTGTCTCTCCTTTTTCCCCAATAATATTCAAGGCGGCCGGTTCCTTTCGAAGTATCATAGCTGAAGGTTGCTGGTACACTCCCTTTGGATCTGCTTGCCAACCCGCGCTCACCGGCACTGTCACTGCTACAACACTCTCCCTTCTCCTTCCTGGTCGTGGTTTACGGCGGCATATTAGTAGCAATTGCTGCCTGTACTATCTATCATATCAGTGAGCAAGCATCAATCCTGCAGCCGCTACCAGTACCTCAGAGCAACCACTGTATTCTCGTACAATACAGTACCTACTCTACCCACCCCCTCTCCTCTTTCCCTGCCCACCCCTCCTCCCTCGCTGTTGATTCAATTTGCATACTTCCACTTGCATTGCATTACCGGGCCCCCTCCACTCTAGTCTTCTTACTATTGCGTCCGCTCCCGGAGACAGAAGGTGGATAATAATAATAATAATAATAATAATAATAATACTAAAAAGGTTCGCCATTCTAACCTGCATTCCCCCGGTCCCCGAGGATTCGTTACCATTCTTGGGAACACTTTTTTCCCCCCTTTCCCTCTCCTTCCATCCCTTTGCACGTTGACTTCACCGAACTGCATGCCTGTCGTCCTTTCGTTGCGTTAGGAATTTTGGAGTTGGCTTCATTTGTTGGTCCAACATATTTTTCCACGTCGACCATTCACGCGTTCGCATTCTTCTGCTCCACTGAAGCGGCTTGACAACGACACGCTATACCCTCCACAGTGCTGCCCACCATGGAACCTTGTGCGGGCTATCATGTGGATTCTGGTAAAGAAAAGGAGGATACTCCAATCTCAAAAACCACCATGAGTATGGTAACCGTCCGCCTTTCCGACACCACCCTCGGATCTCTCCCTTCTCCAACACCGACACTTAAACTCGTCGACGATAACGCTGAAGAACTTCCCCTGAACAACGACGGAGAAACCATGTATGCCCTCGAACGAACAGAATCGCCCTCTTCCGAAGAAATGGCAGCCTCCCGAAGATATAGTGCCGAGAGCGTTAGCTCACAGAATGCTGTTGACTGGGAGGGGCTGGAGAGAACTGAGGGTGAAAGCATCAAAGACGAAACTTCAGAAGAGGTTGGTCCATTTTCCTCCCCGTGGAATTCCCCGCCGCCCCCCCCTCTTTTCTGCCTCCATGAATTGGTGAGGGGATTTCTGACAACTGGCTCTGATTTATCTAGGGAACTGCCTTCCTTCTTGCTAGACTCGAACAGGAGAATAAGCGTCTCGAGAAAGATCCTAAAGCTCTACACATTCACCCAGAGCGACCGCCATCCCTTGCCCAGTTAAAGAGAATGATGGATAGGCCTGATCCCGAAACCCTTCGATACTCTATGCTGCCCACTCCACCACCTCTCACTGATCTCGAGTTCTACGCTGCTCTGGTTGCGGATTACAACAGAGCAGCCTCAAAGCTACCGCACCTTCTTGGTAAGAAGATACGCGGGGGCATTCCCCCTCCGCTTCGTGGAGTAGTATGGATCGCTATGTCTGGAGCTAGGGATAGCAGTTTGGAGGGACTCTACGACCAACTTCTGGGCGAGACGTCTCCATACGAACATTTGATTGGGAAGGATATAGGAAGGACTGGGCTGGAGATGTTCAAGCAAGAAGGGGGAGAGGGGCAGAGAATGCTGGGGAGAGTGCTGAGGGCTTTTAGTATTTACGATACGCAGATAGGCTACTGCCAGGGGTTTGTTCAGCTATCCCCATGTGCACCTACGGTTTCTAACTATTGTAGTCTTGGTTTCTTGGTGGGACCGTTGCTTATGCATATGGGGGAGAAGGAAGCCTTCTGCGTCCTCGTGAGGTTTGTCAATCTCGACCAGGACGCGATCTTGGGGGAGGGGTTAGTAACATGTTTTACAGGCTTATGGAGCACTACGACCTTCGTTCTTGCTTCTTGCCGAATATGTACGGGTTGCAATTGCGAATGTACCAGTTCACACAGCTCCTCGCAACCCATCTTCCGGAGCTTGCCACACATCTCGGTAGCCTTGGGATCCAGCCAACATATGCGTCACAATGGTTTCTATCGTTCTTTGCCGTTAGCTGCCCGCTACCTATGCTCTTCCGAGTTTACGACGTCATCTTTGCCGAGGGTGCCCCCGAGACTATTATGCGCGTGGCCTTGTCACTTATGAGACGGAATGAGAAGCGCTTATTAGCAACTTCTGAGTTTGAAGACGTAATGCAGATGCTTTTGGCTCGGGGGCTATGGGATACCTATAATTTCAATGCCAATGACCTGGTCCAGGACTTTGTCGGGTTGACGGGAATCGTGACTAGCCAAGGGTTGGCGGACTTGGAGAAAAGGTTCAGGGAGGAGCATCCCGACGACAACGGCACCAAAGCCATGCCAACCAAGACACCTGGTTCAGACTTGCAGGCGGCTGCCTCTAGATTTTTGGGGAGAATGTGGGGTGGAGGTTCATTGCCCGGGCCGGTAAGCTTGAGTCCTGCCTCCGGCCAATCGCGACCCGCAAGTATCTTAATGAGAAGGACCCCGTCCAAACAGAGTCTTTCAACGGTCAGCTCTTTCGATGCATCTGATACTGGTAGTGGAATCACCGATGCGACGACCCTGTCGCGATGTTCCTCGGTTGCCGCTGATGATCGAAGAATATCGATTAGATCAATATCGTCAACGAGAAGGCAGAATAAAGATGGGGAGCTTCATGGCCAAATCGAAGACCTGCTTATGGCCTTGAGTGCCTTACAGCGCGAACACGCTGCTAGGGTAGATGAGCTTCAGGCGGTTAAGGCTGAGAGAGAGGAGGAGCGTATACTGGCCAAGAGACTGGTGGACTTGCTTGCAAGTGGCTCTCCCGATGGTGATGAACCGGAGAGTGTCGACAGCATCGCCGAAATAAGCGACCTCTGTGACCAAATAAGTGAAAACCTGATCAGGGCAGAGTCGGAAACGGTTATCACACCCAAACCCTCCACAGCACACTTGGAGGAGGAACTCCAGCGAGCCCGCGAGCAGATCCACAGAGAGCAGCTCAAGTCCAGAGATTTTGCAAACAAGTTAGCAGAACAGGATGCCGATGTTGTTAGGCTAAGAAGCCAACTTCTCGATGCCAGATCCAAGTGGCAGGAGAGTCAGAGAGAGAAACAACAGCTACAGAAGACAATTAACGAGCTAAAGCACCCCCTAGGTTCACCCGAACTCAAGGATCGCGACGGAGAGCCACAGAAAGGAGGGTTGAGGGAGCTTCGGCTAGGTCGCTCCAATTCAACTCGGGGACAGCCGACTCCTGTATTTAACAAGCGTTCAAGTTCCCTAGGAATGCAATCCATACTAGCCCAAGATAACAACGCCCCGGCAACGGCTGATGCTCTCCTCGTCGAGCTTGTGGCTAGTAAGACTGCCGAGGCGGTTGCAAAGCAAGAAGCTGAGGAAGCTAAGGCAAAGTTGGAAGCACTACGGAAGGTTCTTGGGGGAGGCACGGCCAGCAGCGCCGGTTCATTCCGGGACCCTCCCTTGTCACCAGGACTTGATAGAGGGGCTAGCGGTGGTAGCTTCTCCTCATACCTCTCGGTTGGATCGTCTGTTCCCGCTACCCCAGCCAGTACAACAAACAGTGGAGGCGGATTCTGGGGAGGATGGGGGAAAAAGTCTACAGCCGTCGATTCACGATAGTCATGCGTTACACCCGATTGATATTTGTACGAAGTAGTAAAACAAAGAGGTAGTTGGGGAAAACTGGCGCAAGAGTGACATTCTCGTGTTTTCGAGAAAGTTGTGAGGAAATCATGACCGCTTGAAGGAATTCGTTATACCGTCGTTTAGCTTCTTTTTATTTTATTTACAGACCATCGCTTTCTTCACTTCCTATTTGTGCTGTATATCTTCCCCTTTTCTTTCCTCCGAGTATTTTCAATCCCTCGTTCCTATTATAGCCATTTACTTCTTCCGCCTTTTCGCTCAGACCAACAGTGGTTTAAACTGGTTGAATACTTTCTTTTTGTTACCTACATAGCCCCATTCTAGCGATCCTCCGCAAGGATTCTTTTGTGGCTTGTTTGTGTATTTTTCTTTCCACTTTTACATTTTTACATTTTTAACAATTACTGGGCGGTCTTTTTTTTCTTTTTCTTTTTTCTTTCTCCGTTATCGTAAATTTATCATAACGTTACGGGATCTGTGCCTTGCTTTTTTTCCTTTCTTCCCCTGGTTTCAGCCTTTTTCTCCTTTCTACAAGCCTGATGCTAAGTGTTTGTAGAGAGAAATTTTTTACTTTTACCTTCTTGTGTATATCATGTGAGCGAGCAATTCTTTTGATTTGATCTGATTTGGTATCGCTGTGACCTACGGTAGTTAGTTATCATGATGGCATATTATACTATGATAGCAGAGAATGTATCGCGCCACAAACCCATTCGACCTACGGTACAGCCACCCAAGAACTACGCCCTTTTGTTCCTGCCCTGAAGCGCATGCTGCACTCGCGAGTCCCGACCGGCGCCTACAACATCACCACCGGCGGCACTAACTCCACGGCTGGGGGGGGGGGGTGCGAAACACAATATTTGGAACACCTAACCTACAGTAACATTGGGCAAGAATGCTCCCGGGAAATTTACACGGTGAAGAGAAGGATCCACGGTGTATCACCGTGACAGCATAAACTCAAACTTGGCCGTAAATGTCATATTTACACTCCTCCCACGTTCATCGCTGCGGTAATCCCGGTGGAAATGATTTCCCGGTGGGTGGGAGGGGTGTCACGATGGAATGGGTTTGTAAGAATGGGGTATCGGTAACCCCCTGATCCACGCGACAGCAGCGACCGTCGGCGGCATGATATGATGGGAGGAAGAGCGCGCGCGCTATGACGCTTGGCATGAATGCCCTATCCTAAATTTTGAACCGTGAGGACGTGTTTTTGGTTCTTGTTGCGCTTACCACTGTCGGTGTCATCTAACTGTAAGGTGGTGGGTAGGTGGGAGCTCAAGAGGGCAATTTCTCCGAGTGCTGGGTTGTGATGAGCCGTGTCTTTTCTTTCTTTCTTTCTTTCTTGGTAGGGGAGAACTGTCCCGCTCCGCAAGATAGAAAAGAAAAGAAAAAACGAGAGCCAGAAATTGCCATTGAAGGTGACTCCAATGTCCTAGCGTGAGGTGCTATAATATCATCCGAGTTGTTACGGTAAGGGGTTTTGGCACTTTTGGCGGGGAGAATTGTGTTTGGGGTCCGGTTTCATGGTTTGGTCGATTGCCACTGGTTTAGGGACTTTGTCGAGGAGCAATCGATATCGTAGGTTGTGCTTGATTGGCGGTCTCTCCCTCTCCCTCTTTTTTCTTTTTCTTTTTCTTTGCCCCCCACATTACTCCTGGAGTTCCCGTCATTTAATATCACTCGACTAATGAGTGGATGAGGCTCCAAAGTGCCTCAAAGCGGTAGTTTGAGGCAATACCTGTAAAGAGATCCCTGGAGCCAGGTTTAGCTCCCCAGACTACTCGTAGACGCTCCATGCCATTTGTACGAGTACGGTACTGTGTACTCGAGTATCAAGGCTAAGTCAGTCGAACTACCTCTGGTTGGCTTTAGCTACTGCGCCAAGAGCTCGATAGACTTTTTTTTTTTAAAAAAAAAACTTTATTCTCTTCGGGCTTTATTCAGATACTTGGCGCCAAAACAGGTGCTAATAATGCCAAGGTGTCCGGATACTTTATGAATGACTAAGTAGAGAACAGCCGGGTAACTGGATTTGACGCGTATATAGGGGGGTTCTCCTATCACCAGGGGGGCGTTTGCTTCTAATTCTCACACCTCACTTGAATCACTTCTACACTTCGTTTGAAAGAACCTTATCGGAATGTTCACTTATCGAATTGCTCGTTTGATGCTCCCTCGTCAACCCCGCGCGTTTCTCCCGGGCCCGGGGCCTTCTCGGTTGCACACTTTTGGTTTAGCCCAACCCACTCGCATGGTTCAACTTATCCGTTTCCAGGTTTGTAAATCAATTGTGTTTGACAAGTGATATATAAGTACTTACTACCGTAAGAACTCGAATAATTGAACCTCGCGCTAGGACGTTCAGAATTCCCTCTCTTGGATAGGGGGGCGAGAGCACAGCGAAACCGACTCCCCGAGCCCCTGCTTAAGAGAAAAAGAAAAAGTCAAAAACACCGCACCATACCAGTAGAGGCAACACCGACGTCTTAGCTCGAGGTTCAATTATTCGAGTTCTTACGGTATGTGGCTGAACAGAAGTACTCAACGGATGAGAAAGCCCCCGAAAACGGTCTCAAGAATGCCTCCGAGAACTCTGGGAACGCCTCGGAGAACGCCTCCGAGAACGCTTATGAGAACGCTTCTGGGAACACCTCCGGCCTGGGGAATGCCTCTGAGATTAGGGGTCCTCAAACCTCGGACAGGATTTGGTTGAGTTGAGGATGGAAATTGGTAATCAATGGTGATTGGTCCAGATCATGATCCATGGCCCAACTCAACTCAACCACCCATCTGACAAAAGTGGTGGATGGGTTTCATGGAGCACTAAAGAACTAGACTAGATGTTACCAACTTGGGTATGGTAGAAAAAAAAAATGATATCATAATTAAAAAAGCTGAAGTGGTTATGTCACTCAAGAAATACGTAGAAACAGGTATTTATTATTAGGATCTGTATACTATGAAAAGTCTGCTTCCTTTATACTCGAGATTTTATTTTATTTTATTTTATTTTATTTTATTATATGCGACAGAGTTCACAGTTACCAGTAACAAGACCAAGTATGGCATTACAAAGCCAGAGCGATCACCTTCGAGATATTCGGGATCAAGAGCAAGAAATTCAGCATTCAGAACCTCGCCTATCAACTCCGAGACAAATGTCAGTTCCAGATTCCCAAGCAAGAACTCATCAGACTATTGAGTCTCGGAGTCCAATAGTGAGACATTTCAGTCAATCTGGACCAGGTCAGTGGACCATCAGTGATAGAGAAAAGCTACTTGAATGGTTAGGACGTAACCTGCAAAACTACGAGGCCTTTAAAACCGACAAAAATCGGGTGGCAGATCGGATATCAAAGGATGTCTTTGGTGGGGTACGGTCAGGAAGCTCGGTAAAAGGACAGTAGGAAGCAATAAAAAAAAGTACTGGGTTGCACAAACCAAATTAAAGTCTACTGGAGAAGGACAACGGAAGAACAAGGATCTGTGGAGCAGTATACGTACAAATTGGCTCGACCGACTATGTCCCTACTATGAGGCTATCGATGATATCCTTCAGCGAGATAAAAGCTTTACACCATTTTATGTTTCTGAAACCAGTGGAGAAGAACATTATGAAGCCAGATCAACCGATGGGATATGGCAACAAAGTGAACAGATACTGCAGAGTTCTGAGGTAGCGGAATTGAGGAAGGAGGATCGTCAAGGCCAGAGAAATCATGGAAGCTTTATAGATGAGAATGATACTGAAATTGAAATCAACTTTAATTCAAGCACACCAACCGAACATCCATCAGCGGGTGGGTCGAAAAATCCACGAAAGCGGGGTACCTCAAGTGGGACAGGACAGAAAGGACTAAAGAGAGAAAAGTTCAATTCTGAGGAAGAGATTTTACGTTCAGTACAGCATGAAAGACTTGCATTTGAGAAGGAAAGATTTCAGTATGAGATTTAGCGTGATGAAGCTCAACGGCAGTTGGCTGAAAGGCGAGAAGAAAACAGACATGAGGAGGCTTTAATGCGAATGCGGCTGTTGGAAATGAGACTTCAAAATCAGAATGTATAGTTTCTATCTGGTATTCCCAACCACCCCGGGGACTGCTGAAGACTGTGGGGGACTATAGGGACTGCGGAGACTGTGGAGACTGCGGAGGGGAGACTGCAGGGGCTGTGGGGACTGTGGGGACTGCAGGGACTGCGGAGACAATGGAGACTGTAGGGACTGTTGGGACTGTTGGGACTGCAGGGACTGTGAGGACTGTGGGGACTGCAGAGACTGTGGAGACTGTGGGGACTCGGACTGCTGGGACTGTTGGAACTGTGGAGATTGCGGGGGCTGTGGAGACTGCGGGGACTGTTGGGACTGCGAGGACTGTGGGGACTGTTGGGACTGTGGGGACTGCGGGAACTGTTGGGACTGCGGGGACTGCGAGGACTGCGGGGACTGCGAGGACTGCGGAGACTGTGAGGACTATGGAGACTGTGGGGACTGCAGTGTTACACATAATAGCGTAATCGGTGCGGCACGTGACTAAATGCATAAGGTCACGTGTTCGACTCCGGGCCCCGCCGTAGTATCGTGATGATATCATATTATCGCACGGAACGATAAGGCATCTACGCAGCCCGCTCCGCGGAGATACGAGGCATGCGACCGAGGGGTTTTCGCTGGATAACATAGAAGGAGCTCCGCTCTACAAGATAAGACTTAGTTGGTTCAGATTGGTCGGTTAGTTATTGAGCTACGACCTCTGCAAGTCTATATGCAATTACAAGAAGTAATATGCATATCCCGTCAGCTCGCGTAAGCTAGAGTCATCCGGAAGACCTAGTTACGATT